CAAAAAAAAAAAAAAAATAAATAAATTAAATAAATAAATAAAAAGTACCAGGTGCTGCATAGGTATGCATGTTCCTGTATGTACATATATGTTCATGTACATATCTATATATGTGAGGAAGTTCATCCTATCCTCTTTAATTTTTTTTAATATGCATTGGTGTTTTGCCTGCCTGTATGTCTGTATGAAGGTGTTGGATCCACTGGAACTGGAGTTACAGACAGCTGTGAGCTGTCACGTGGGTGCTGGGAATTGAACCCAGGTCTTTTGGGAGAGCAGCCAGTGCTCTTATCCTCTGAGCCATCTTCTCCAGCCCTAGTCTATCCTTGCTTTAGATCTCTCCTAGTCCAGTGATATCTCTGCTCAAGTTGCAGCATCCAAGTCTGCACCTTGAACCTCGTTCCCTGCAGACATCTATGGAGTCACTCCCCTGCAGCTTCCTTTCCCACTCACTTCTGTCTTTCATACCTGGAAACTGTACCTGACCTTCCAGCTAATGCTCATAGAAGACATAGTGGGATTGTGGGAGTGTGCTTCCTCTCACTCTGAAGATAGCTCTGCTGTCTAGCAGTGGGTACATTTTTCTTTAAAGAACTAATGTATATAGATGAACCACCAAGGAGATAATCTACACTTAGCACACACCTCTCTGGTCTTGTTCACCATTTACATCATGATCATTCATTCATCCTTCCTAACCAGAGAGCATCCTTCCTTCCACCCACAGGGCCGTAAGTACAAGCACCCACATCCACTGCTGCCAGGGAGCTGTATGAAGCTTGGTGCCCTCAGAAGCATCTCTGGAGTTTGAAGGTGCCCTGCTGTTCCCACCCACATCTCACAGGTCCCTGAAAGGCAGTATGCATTTGTATTTTTCAAAGTCTCCATATCTCCATAAAAAGGTGCCCCAAGAATCTCAATACTGCTTTCCAAACAGTATTAAAGTGCTTTGCTTTTCTTGTGAGGAGGGCAGGGTCACACTATGTAGCCTAGGCTGTCCTTAAATCTGTGATGCTCTTGGCTATGCTCCTGGCTGTGTCTACTAATGCTGAGATTACAGTGAATGTGCTATCATGCCTGGATCAAATACTAGTTTTTTGTTGGTGGTGGTAATTTTTGGGGGGTAGGGCATAGGAGGAGACAGTTTCTTTGTGTAACCCTGGATGTCTTGGAACTTACTCTGTAGCCCAGGCTGGCCTCAAGCCTGGAGATCCACCTGTCTCTGCCTCCCAAATACTGGGATTAAAAGTGTGCACCACCATCACCAGGCTCAAGTACTAATGTTTTAAAAACAGATTTATTTATTTATTTATTTATTTATTTATTTATTTATTTATTTATTTTATGTATAGGACTACACTGTCGCTGTCTTCAGACACACCAGAAAAGGTCATCCGATTCAACCACGGATGGTTGTGAGAGGCCATGTGGTTGCTGGGAATTAAACTCAGGACCTCAGGAAGATCAATCAGTGCTCTTAACCACTGAGCTGTCTTTCCAATCTGCAAATACTAATTTTTAAATAGTATTCTATTTTTAAATAGAATCTCCTATACAGTAGATTGGCTTTGCATTTGTTACATAACTTAGGATAACCTTGAACTATGACCTTCCTGCTCCTACCTCCTCAGTGCTAAGGTTACAGGCATGTGCCAACACATCTGGCTTATGCAGATGTTGAGGATGGAACTCTTCATACCTGCAGGATAATAAGGAACCACTTTACTGACAGCGCTACATCCACAGGTCCAGAGCTTTTCTGTTTGTTAGTTCATTTGAGACATAGTTTCACTGTCTCCCAAAGTGGCTTTACAGTCACCATGCAGCCCAGGGTGAAAACTTTAAACTTGGAAGGCACAGATTGCTTTCTAAACTCATCCTTTGCAGATGACATCTTTCCTCCTGGGCAGGATGGAGGTCACTGTGGCCAGTGCTTGCCAAGGCAGTGGGCTTTGGGTTATAATCTTACCTCTCTTCCTTTGGCTTCAGTAGCCTTCCCTCCCAGCACTTGGTGCTGAAGTTCTACTAACATAAGAAAGTAGACCACTTCTTTAGGTGAGGGTAAGATATACTCTAGTTAGGTGGCTACCAAACATGCCATAAACATGCTAGGAAGAAAGAGAGAGAATTAAGACAACAGTCGCAAAGAATCGGGATTCTTTAGACAATATCTGTTCTTAAAGAGGCAGGAGGTATCCGTTTCAGGGTCTGTGGAAACCGAGGGGTCTGTGACTAGAAGTGTATTAAGCTTAAGTTTTATTTGATCGTCTCTGGGCAGGTGAGAGGGGGAGGGGAGATTATACGAAACAAACCAACTGGAAGAGGTTGGCAATGGATTAAGAATTGGTATACAACACTGCCAATGTGTTCATTTGATTTCCACATTTCTCTACCCCCACTTATTCCCACCTTCGTTTCCCCAACACCCAGCCAGAAACAAATGATACCTTGATAGCTATTTCAGCTGCAATCCTATACATCCCACGAAGCAGGAGCCCCCAGCTGCCAGCCAATCCTGATCCCCTAATCCCAAAGGGACCAGCTGGTCAGAATTCTCAAGGATGACAGACCCCCAGTGCACATGTGATTTCTGATGCCAGCACTGTGATCAAGGTTAGACCACTTTACTTATTTGCATATGATAAACCTTAGCATTGGCCTGCCCACCTCCCCTGACACACTCACATCACCCCAGATGGGAGTAAAAAGCAACCTGAAATTCTTGAGAAATTATTCTAAAACCATGCCTTTCCGTTTCCAACTAGAACAACCAGAATAGACTTCACAATGTGGGTGGTCCAGTCGGCTTCATTGTTAGCCTGGACAGCTGTTGAACCATCGGTCACCAGGACAAAGTGAAGATGGCTCAGTGCCCTTCAGCCCTGCTGCTGACTGTGGAGCCCATTACAATAATAGAGAAGTTAATCACTAGCCTCATGCTTGTCTGAGGGTTTTGTGAGTGCCCCAGATACTAAACCTATATCAGTTGAAAACTACGACCAGCATGCACTTGCCTGGAGTTTGGTATGATAGTCAGGGGTTATCTATGGCATAGATAAGGTTGAAAGGATCCTCGGGACAGAGGATAATTGATAATTTGAAGAAATAGAAATAAATTCCTACTAAGTGTGTGTCAATTCCCTTATTTTCCAGCCCTTCCCACAGCCAGGACTTCGATTTGGTGGTCATTGCCTGCTCAGTGACACTAAATTCTCCAGTAATCTGCAGGGATGTGTAATTATGCTATAGTTAGTGATTGTTCACTAAGTAAACCCTTGGTGTAGTTACCATGTAAGTCAACGGTATTTACAGGATATTTTTTCTGCCTGTAACTCAAAGCCTTACCGAAACAAATTGGAATTGCCTTCTGGAGGCCGTTGTTATAAATTACAGACCCAACATCTGTCCACATCTGCAATGTCTAGACAGCCTGTCTCAGCTACAAGAGAGGAAAGAGATGAATAAACAGAAAGCAGGAGAGGCTGAGGAGTAGCAGAGGAAAACCTCAGACCCACAGAGATTTTCTCTTTTGAGGTTCCCCCTATGCATGTTTCTCTGTTTCTGAAATGGACCTGAACCCTCAGCAGCCCCAGGCTGAGGTCAGGAGATCTTCGAGTGTTCATCACTTCAAGTTGCAACAGACAACATAGCTCTTCTGTTTGGACATTCTCCACCCAGATGTGCTTTTGGTGGGACCTAGGAGGTCAGGTGAAATACAGAGACTGAGAGGGATCATGAAAGGAGGCTCCTGCCTTTCCAAAGTTCCCCAGCCCCTCTCTCCACCCTCTATCTCCTGACCTGGCTCCAGAGGAGGGGAGGCATCCATTCGCCTACCTTTCTGGTGGTCCCTCTCCCGCATCCACGATAAGGAGCCTGCCCGTCAGCTGAGTGATTGTATTTTTTTACAGTTCCTAGCACAAGCCTTCTCATTTATATGTAAAGCAGCCATTAGTCATAGCTCCGTTCCCACACACTGCCTGATGTACAATCACATTTTGCAGCGGATGAATCTTTCCACACAGCTGCTCTGCTATGAATAATCCGTCTCCAGGCCCATAAATCAGAAAAAAATCATGCACCTCGTTCTCCTGATCCTTACACAAAGTCATATATTTTACATGAGGACGAGCTAAATATTCATGAGTCTTAAAGTCTTTTTTCATAGGCACTTGTTGGGGTTGTTTTCCACCATTGGGGGGGGGCACCAAGGTGGTTTCTACTTAGGGGAACAAGGGGTTCTTAGAGAGGAGGAAGAGGAGACAGAATCTCTCTCTCTTTCTCTCTCTCTCTCTCTCTCTCTCTCTCTCTCTCTCTTTTCTGTGTGTGTGTGTGTTGTGTATTTGAGAGAAAAAAGAAATGTGAGAGAGAGATTGGATCCAGCTGTCTCTTGTTCCAGGAGTCATGTGGGACAAAAGGCAGTCATGTAGGGTCCTAGAAATATAATGAATACCTGCTTACCTGAGCTCCGCTCCTGACTTGCTCTGGGTCCAGAATATGTCTTTCCGGATCTTCAAGGTCATTTTATGAACCTTTGTCCTATGACCCGTGGAGCAATGAATTTGACCTTTTTCTATAGATAGAAGATGCAGAAATGGGGGTGGGAAGGTAGCAAGGGTGGGGGAGGGGTGGGGAAGGGAGATCAGCAGATGTAAAATAATCCACTCGGATGGTACAGCAACCTACTTGGCTGCCTGTGGTGACACACCTGTAATCCTAGCACCGGGGAGAGTGGGGCAAGAGGATGGTGAGTTAGAGGCTAGCCTCAGCTACATAGTGATTCAACAAAAAGCCTTCTGCAGAGCCAGAAGCGAAGGCCTCTAACAACTCCACCACTCCCTGTGTCTCTTCTCCTGTCAGGGAACAATGAGGGTGGCTTTTCTGATTCTTAGGGCGCATCATTCTTTTCAAATAAGAAACTCTCCCTGAAACTCACCTTAAATATCCTTTCATTCCCTCTCAATACAAAACTTGACCCTCCAAGAAACCCATTCCTACTATTGGAAGGCAAGACAGGAGGCGTTCCTTGCACAGCTGTGCAAGCCACACACTCTGCCTCTTCCTCTGTGACAAATCCCAGCTCCTCGCTGGCGGGTGCTCTTTCATTTTATCCTGAGCGTTCACTCACGTTTGTCTCAGTGGTGCTGTCTGGCTGACTCATTAATGCCGTAGTCTGCAGTGGGCGTGATGATGTGTCCTCAATTCCCTTTAAAGGTGGGAAAAGACCTTCCTCTTGGTCTCACTGACAACATGAAGAACGAAGTGGAGGCTGAGATTTCCCAGACTTAACTGAAGATCTGGAAACACCTAATTACTCACGCAATCTTAGCTTTCTAAAGACAATCCCTGGGCTCAAGGGCTGTCCTCTGAAGAATAGTTTGGAAACTGGAAGGATACCTCTTTGGTGGGTTATCCTTTATCTGAATATCTCATTGCTGGGGTTGGCAATGTAGTTTAGTATGTAGGGTACTTGCCTGATTAGACTGCAGAGGAAGCTCAAGGCCAGTCTGGGCAACTTAGTGACATTTTGTTTTAAAAAGTAAAAAAAAAAAAAAAAGCCATAGGACCGGTGGCACATGTCTTTAATTTCAGCACTCTGGAGACAGAGGCAGGAAGATCTCTACGAGTTCAAAGCCAGCCTGGTCTACATAGTTACATTCAGAACAGCGAGATCTACATAGGGAGGCACACACACACACACACAAAGTAAGAAGAGGGCTGGGGTTACAACTGAATGGTAGAAAGCCTTAGGTTCCATTCCCAGTCCCAGCACCTCCACAAGCAAATAAATAAATAAATAAGTATATCGATAAGTAGATACATATATAAATAAATGAAATTATTACTCCCGTCTGCTACGCCTATAGGATCTGTGAGACTCTGGGTACGATCCTGTAAGGAATGTTAAATGAGTCTTTCTATCAAATATGATGCTTGTGATTAGGGTGAGGAATTCAAATCTTAATCTTCCCCACCTCTTAAGGCTTTTATGTAAATATTTTAACAACACTCTCCCATCCCCCACTCCTCAGCGCCACCCTACACACACACACACACACACACACACACACACACACACACCTGCTGAAACTTTTGTTTATGAAGAGACTCCCTGCTACATTCCAGAAATTTGATAGCCTAGAGCAGTGACCCTTTTCCCCTTGGAGAAGTGACCTTTCTCCCGTTCCATTTTTGTTTCCTAACCAATTCTTTTAAGATTAGTCAGTTGAAAAAAAAAAAAAAAGGTTAGTCAGTTGAATAAGAGTGTGAGATCAGACACTAGCTAATGGGAAAAAGAGACAAGCACACCTGAGTTAAACAAAAAACCTAGTGTGCTTCCAGCCTCTGTGTGCCTGCTCTCCCTAATACACTCCTGACCAAGAATAGAGCTCAGATGCTTCATTGAAATAGTGCTCTTTTTCTTTGCGACTCTGTTGTTTCTAACAGTTCTAGTACTGCAAACAAAGTCACTTGTGCTGACTAGCTTTCACAACCTCGTGTCACTAGGGAAAAGGGAATCTCAGCTGAAAAATCATCTTGCTCAGATTGACCTCTGGCCCTGACTGTAAGAGATTGTCTTGATGGGTTATTGATTTGGGAGACCCCAGCCCACTGTGGGCAGCACCATTCCTAGGCAGGTGGGCCTGGGCTGTTTACCAAAGCTAGCCTAATAAGCCAGAGGGAACAAGATAGTAAAGAAGTGTTTGTCCATGATGTTTGTTTTTGTTTTTGAAACATGGTTTCTCTGTATAGCCCTTGCTGTCCTGGAACTCTGTGTAGACTAGGCTGCTTTGAACTCATAAAGATCTGTCTGCTTCTACCTCGTGAGTACTGAAATCAAAGGCATATACAATCACACCTGGTTGGTCCTTGGTCCCTGCCTCTAGGAACCAAGTTTCTGCCCTGACTTCCCTCAATGATGAACTGTAACCAAAAAATGGAAACTGAAACAAACTCTTTGCTACCCAAGTTGCTTTTGGCCCTGGTGTTTATCCTAGCAACAGGACACTTCTCTAACAGATGGACAAACCAAGGTACAACCTCGGCAATGACTTTTCCAAAGATAAATCAAGAGGTGAGAGTAGGAAGCCACAATTATATCTGATTCTCTTTGTGATTTTTGACTCTGGACATCAACCCCACCCCACCCCCACCCCAACCCACACATCCCAACTTCCAGGGCCACGGTTAAAGCTTCTCCCTATTTCTGTAAACTTCTAGGCTCCCCCTACTTGGTTGCCCCTTGTCCGTCTCCTGCTTGAAACCCACTTCCCCTCCTGTTCAAGGAACATTAAGTCAAAGAAACGCCAGAGAGGAGGGAAAAGTCCAAACAATCACAGATGGCAGACTTGGAAAATTTAATTTAAAGTCATTCTTTATTATCCAAAATATTAAAATTAAAGCTATAAAGCCCAAAGGAAAACACAGATTAAAACCCCCAATGTTTCACAGTCTCTTCCTCAGGGGGTCCCCAAAACATTGAGTGAGAATGCTTTTGAAAAGAAAGCAGGGGTGCTGGAGCTAAGAGCCAGCTGTAGATCATTGAGCCAACCGCTCAGCGACTGACCCAATCATCTTCCCTTAAAGCCAAACACCAACTGTTTCATATGCAATTAATGATTGCCCTGGCAAATTAAAGTGCATCAAGTCGTCACAGGCATCCTTGAATGACAAGGCACACAACAGTCGCAGGTATCTCGTCCCTGGCATCTACATAATGATATTACTAGGCTAATCTGGGCTTGGAGATTTAATTCTGCAAAACGCCATGTGCTAAATATTTATATTCATAAAGGGCTGGAAAACATGTTCATATGCTACCTCTTGGCTCTCCATTTATCTGGACTAGGCCTGGGGCTCGCTTGCTGGGGCTGTGGTAGAGGGTAAAAAGCATCAGTTGATGTCATTAGAATCACACTGTTTCTGGTCCCCAATTTCACTTTTCTGAAGGGCTTATTGCTGGATTGGGTATCTGGAGGTACCGGGGAAAGAGCAAAGCCTCTTTCTTCCCTGGAGATGCCAAAGTAGCAAGCCCCTTCATATTCCAGGGCTAAGCAAGGGGCAGCAGGCTGGACAAACATGTCTCTTGCTCATTCTTTGGTACAGAAAATCAGAGTCCAGAGGGGTAAAGCAAAGACCACCTCAGCCGTTCCTTACAGATCTCCATCAGAGAAACCGCAGATGTCTGATTTGGGATGTCACTGGGTTTAAACTATAAAACTGAAGAATAAGGCCTTTCTAAATAATCCTAAGTAAGCCAGTGCTGATGGGAAGGGAATATGTTTTGTGGCCTTTCGGATTTGTCTCAGTTTCCTGTATTGAAGCTTGAGTCTTAGCTATGGCCTTTCAGAGCACCCCAGTAGATAAGGCATGGGCCCCATCAGGCTTGGCCGAGCCTCTACTCTCAGGGGATTGCCAGAATCATTTGTGTCCATCCAGACACTGATTTTCTCTTCCCGTGGGTATTTTGAAACCCAATTGTTCAATCCAGTCCCCTCTGCCATTTCTCTCTCCCTGCCAGCAAAGGCAGATGATGGAGCCTGTCTGTTTGCGCACACCAGGACTTGAAGCCTTCAGCAGCTTTTCCAGGGTTCAGCATATTATAATCAAGATGGGATCATCTAGTAAACATTACATTGGTTGCAATCTACAAAGATTAGCCAGACTTAAGGGTTTCATGCCTATGGTTTACATTTTTTCAAGTTCCTACCATTAAGTTAACAACAAATAACATATGTTTATAAAACAACAACAAATAACATTAACAAATAAACTGCCAGACCACTGACTGAAGGTCATTCAACAGGAAAGGAGAATGGTTCTGCAAGCCTGGCCATGGCCTAAGCTCAAGAGTCAGCTTGAAGCCGGGCAGTGGTGGTGCACGCCTTTAATCCCAG